AAAAATCCTTGAGATCTCGTCACAGTGACAGTGTGGAGCTGTAAAGCATCCCGTCGTTAAAATTCTGACACCTCGTCTCGACGGTCTCCGGACCAGTCTGGTCTGTGCTAATGTCCATGCCTCCCAGACAATAAGAGATTGTCAGAAACGGAAAACCTGTTGCCTTCTGGTAACAGACCCGCACCCTAGTGTGCCGCGATAAAAAGGACCCTGGGGGGTAACCATCCGCGAAATTTTCATTAACTCTGGCCATTGCTGTTTTTTAGGCCATTTCCCAACCCCCCCTTTCATTCCCGCTTCCGGATGCTTCCATTTCCCTTCCCACATGACGGATGGACCACTATCTGTCAGCCAGAAGACATGAAATACTGCTTGCATGTAGCCTCTGCCAGCTCCTGTGTAATAATGTGCATTTTTTTCTGCTTCTTGGAGCGTTGGCTGGTTATCGAGGAAGTCGCATCTGGGGCCTGGATGAAAGCTTCTTTTAACCGACAGATAAAACGGAAAACCAAACAAACAAACAAACAAACAGATGACACATTCTCTTGATGTTGACCGAACCGGACTGTCTGCATTGGTCCCCGGAGCACAGTTGTGGGAAATCGATGTTTTTGTGTGTCTGGGTAAGCTGACCATTCCATGGAAAACGATCCAGTAAGCAAAGGACGGTGGTAAATCGATGTTTTTGTGTGTCGGGATAAGCCAACCGTTCCACGGAAAACGATCCAGTAAGCAATGGATGGTGGTAAATCGATGGCGTCCAGAATAGAAGCTGTTCGGGGGAATCTTTGAAATGATTTGCAGCGGTATATAGAGGTCTGTGCTTTGGCGAAAATCATAGGATGTCAAAAGTTAGCGTGAAAATTTGTGAAATGAGAATAGCATGGCCCATCTGGACATAGAAATGAAATCCTTGTTATCGGAAGCTGGAAATAATGGATCTGAATCTTTTACATGGGCTCTCAACTGTCAGTAACAAATGAGAAGCGTGTTAGGGTGTGAATGACACAGTCAGGGGTGCTGTAGATACTCCGTTAGGCTGGAGTAACAACATAGTATTAACAGATTAATTTATTCGCTCACTCATTCATAACTGCTAATCCTGGGCATGGTTGTGGAGAGCCTGGAGTCTCTCACAGGAAGCCCAGAGCACAGGGGTGGGGACACCTCAGGCAGGAGGAATCCATCACAGGGGATACCCCGGGCAGGATACCAGTCCGTCACAGGGGATACCCCGGGCAGGATACCAGTCCGTCGCAGGGGATACCCCGGGCAGGATACCAGTCCATTGCAGGGGATACCCCGGGCAGGATACCAGTCCATTGCAGGGGACTCCTTGGGCAGGACGCCAATCCATCGCTTGGAACACCCAGGGCAGGATGCCAGTCCATCACAGGGGATACCCTGGGCAGGATGCCATTCCATCGCATAGAATACCCAGAGCAGGACTCTGGTCTATTACAGGGGACACCGCGATCAGGATGTCCATTGAAGTGGACACACTGACATACACAAAGGGTGTATAGATACAGTCATTGCTGGTCAATCGTATTGGTGACATAGGCGGCCACCTAGACTGCCAGCATCTGAGGGGGTGTCTACTTGCCAGGCAATTTCAGTTGAGAGAGAGGAGGGGCTCTGGTGGTGATGCTCACCTAGGGTGCCACATGAGCTATAGGACGGGTACGAGTCTATCACACATTACTGTGCACAAGCCCCCTAAACCCTCCTTCCTGAAGTTATCGAGAGTATAAGTTTGCCGTATGCGTGCTGGGGGAGAGCTCCCATCGTGGGGTTAGCTTCCAATGCTAATGAACGGGTGCTAAAAAAACCCCCCCTCCTCCATTACTCTGGGTTGTCACAGCGTCGGTGAGTCACTTCACTCGTGAATATTGCTGCTGCGCTTGCGTGTGCAATCACGCCGGCCTTGGAACAACCAAACCCGCCGGCGCAGGTGTGAGATGCCGGCTCCATTCGAGCAGCACTCTTTTACTGTTCCTGTAGCAAAGGCGGCAGCCTCAGCTCTGGCAGGAGAGGAGTAGGTCAGAGTAATGAAGGTTAACCGCCTGCGGCTCATCTGAAGGGGCCATCAGAGCCCCGTATACATTCAGGGAGCCCCAGTCACCCGTCAGCTGCACAATGCAGCTGGGAGTTTCAGAGCTTCTCTTCTCAGACATGCAAAGATTCGTCAGCCACTCGAGTTCCGTCGTTCCTCGCAATCCGGCATCGGAGAAGACATCGTGGTCATTTCCGTGTTCTTCCCCTCCTCGTCAGACACTTTACATCTGAAGCGCCTGAATACCTTGATGAGCGACATACTTTTAATTCCTGAAAGGTTTTTTTTTTTTTTAATGATCATGTGCCTTTCTCCATGCTTTTGACGGGAGACGAGGTGTGTTGCCTAATTAAACAGAGATTGCCTCGTCAGTATATCCACAGTCCCGTCGCTTGCTAAAATACATCTCAGGTGTTTCTGCCTTTTGTCTAAGATCAATGACATCTTCCTGAAAGAGTACTGAGACATTCTTTATTAACATTCCTTCCTACGGTCCTGTCCTTGTTTAAAATACAGCAGCTTTTTTTTCGCTTATTAAACATTTTTCTTGCCGTTATTCTTCATCTCACAGGACCAAGAGAAACTCAAAGTCCTTTTCAGTGTCAACAGCATTATTCTTTGTCAGGTGTTCATTTTTAAATTATTCCCCCCTGCTCTGGTGTGTGGGGCTGTGGGGTATGGGGGGGGGACGTATTTTTTAGCAGAACTGCTTGCTCAAACAGCCGTGGGCAGACGGTGGCGAGGCCCCTTGTTGCTACGGGTGCCGTGATCTGCTGTGTATGTAATAATGCGGCCCTTATCGCTCGTAAAGGTCTACGTGGGGCGACTCCCATTCCGATTTGCAGAATTGTATTACTGCTTTTTCTTTTTGGTTGTCCCCAGGAAGGGTGCGATCGACCCCTGACCCCCGGGATTCATGCACCTGACAGTGTGATGGATGGAGCCTGGGGCCCCTGGGGAAGAATCCGGGGCTAAATGAGAGTCTGAAATGGCTACTCCCCTCTATTTCTACACTCACTGTTCATAGCCTGCTGCTTTTAAACAGATTCGGGTTGGGGAGGAATTTGGGCAGGAGGGCAGGGGCATAGCCGTGTTGTCTGTGTCTATGCGCTGCAGAAGCAGCTGTGTGTCATGTGTGTGTCTGTCTGCTCTGCAGAAGCAGCTGTGTGTCATGTGTGTGTCTGTCTGCTCTGCAGAAACAGCTGGTTACACTCTTTCATAAATTTGTTATACTAGTAAAGTATATGTTTATGCGTAACAATTATTTTTTGTTATATTGCAAAGAAATATAGTCATAACTATTCTGTAAAATTAAAGATATAAAATAAAACAAATAAAAACTTGTAGTTGAATTCTAATAAAAGGCTTAAATATGCCTTTTCTGCCAACTAAGGAGCCCCATTTTATTTGGCTGTTTGCTCTTTCTGCTGCGGTCCGTGGATTTGCGAACATATTAACTTCATGTTGGCTGCTCCCAGGACAGAGTAAGAAAGTCGATACGGCGTCGCTGCATGAATGGACTCTTCTCCTTGTCTGGAAGCCAAATCTGAAGGCGCTCATTAGCGGAGTCGCCACGGCATTAATCATGCTTAACGCAGGAGTGGGTGCCCCCATGAGCACGCCCCCCTCCCCCCCACCCACCCAGAGCGTGTACACCAGCTCCTGGTTATTTGAGTAAGCAGGTGAGTGTGTAGGCCGGCCTCATACAGACAGATGGGGCGTGTGTGCTTATGCGCCAAGCACCGTGCCCACGCTGTGGTGCTTTAGGCTGTGGGGATACAGCTTGTCAGTTTAGAAGGCTGGCACCAATAGGAAAATGCTGTTCATAAAATGACCATCATTGCTCTACAATTCTAATTAATGAGCTGGAATTGATCTAAGGGTTAGGCAGCAAAATGGCCTTAGGAAGCTGGTTCTGTTTGGTTTCAGTTTTCTGTCTGTAATTGACTGAACATGCTCTATTGCTGCTTCGAGGAGAAGGGGAAAAATGGCCCGATCCTGGAGAATTCCCTGGCTATCCCCAGCTTACGCTCTGACTTAAATCTGCCCTAATTGCTCCAGTGAAAAACAGGGACAGAACATTAAGAAATAGGCCAGCCTATTCTGTTTTTTCTCTCTTTTAGTGTTTTATTCATTTGTTTGTTTGTCTTGATGAGTGAAGAATGACAAGGGGCGGGGCAGGGGCCCAGCTTGCCGGAAGAGCCCAGAACCACAATGAAAGCATCCTGAGTCTGTGTTTTTGAATAACACTTTAGATTAAAAGTGTCATCGGGGGGGGGGGCGATGGTGGCACCTGCGAGCAGAGTGATGACATATAGAAATCAGCCCACTATCGCTTTCGTGACACAGTGGAATGAAAGTACCCTGTATGTCAGCATCGTTAGGGACACCTGTGTTGCATGAGAAATGTAAATCACAGCTTTGCTTGTGTTCCCAGAATCGTGGCATGACATATCTTCAGTCCCCCCTACAAGGGGCGCCAGTCCCCCCTTCCTGTCACACAGAGAGCCTTCCTCGTGTTACTGCATCCTCGCTAAATATGGCCATGCACACAGAATCACGCCATGCTCCAGAATCAGGCTCCATGCGCGTCATCCCTGCAGGGGGCGCCGGTTCCCCAGCTTCCTGTCAGACACTGTGTCTTCCTCTTGTTACCGCGTCGTGCTCTCTAAACTCAGCCACACGCACTCACCTGCCAGTGGATCAGCTCACTGAATTTAACCCCAAAGTCACATGCTGTGAGGAGGCGAGTGAGCCTGCAGTGATCCTCCTGACGTTTCTCCTCAGGGTTGCGTTTCGGCCAAGAATCCAGAAGGTGCCAGCTGAGGTCCGGCCTGATGAAGTCATCACATTTAATCAGAATTTCTCCACCAAGACCAAGTTCAGCTGTAAAAAAGCAGCTTTGGATCAACGTGACAATGTAACGGAAGTTTGTTTTTTTAAGGCGCTGTTGAAGGATGGGACGAGGTAACCGGATGAGACAGGTGGCCATGTTTCACGGCGAGGCGTAAACATTGTGGAGCTGCCCTGATTATTTCTGTCCAAAAGGTCAGTGCTGAAATAAAACCCAAACATTAGCACGTGGTTTCCTGTTTTCATGGGGACTAATTATTCCTTCACCCCCCCTCAGAGTGTTATATGCCTCGGCCGTACTGCGCCATCCTAACCTGAGTTATTGGGTCATTTTGCCGTAATGGTCGTTGTCCCGCAGATGGATTCTGGTGCAGTTCGCTCTGGATTTTACTTGGTGTAATATAAAATGGAGATATGCATCGCAAACACAGAGCGAGGGTCGTGGGGTGGTGTTCGCACGCACCAACTGCAATTGTTGTTGCCGAGGAAACTAACAAATCGGTGGTCGACGGCATCGAGCAAACGAGCTAACGAATGCACTGCCACCAGTGCTGTGATGCATTCCTCTAGCCGGGAGCATTAGCACCTGGAATTCGATGTGAAATAAAACTGGAATGAGCCCCCGGTGTGTGTGTGTGTGTGTGTGTGGGGGGGGGGGGGTGTCTGGGCGTCTGGCGCCTCACGTTGGCAGTGTAACGTGCCTGACAGACATATGCTCATGATGATCAGGTGTTCCTTAGATACGACTGGAGAAGGTAAAATAAACAATCACCCACATTGAGATAAAATTGGAGCCAGAGACCAGCTTCAACACGCCTTCGGGAGAAATGGAAAGTGAAGTAACTGGCATTTTTGTCAGTGTGGATCATTAAAAGCTGAAGTGCTTCCCTCCACAGGTCGATGCTCGAATGCAGGATTTCCCGGACAAACGTGGATGTCTTATTAGACCCGGCAGGCCACACTGCACCTTTCCAGGCAGGAAGACAGGAGGAGACAGGAGGCACGGTGCAGGGGGACCATGTGACAGGAAGAAGGAATTGTTAGTGGGACGTGAAATGCATTTGGGGAGAGATCGACTGCTTCTTCTGTGTCTCTGGGCTACCCCAGGACTCTGGCCTCCTGCCAGTATCTGGATCCACCATCAGCCATCAGAACAATCTGAATCTGAGTCAGTTCAGCAGAGTCCAGGCAATAAGCCGGTACAGGTACCGGGTACAGCGGCAGCTGATCGGTGCTTTAAACATCATCTGTCTGTTGAGCCATGTCAAGAGTCAGACCGAAAAATCGCCACTTGACAGGGATGGACAATCAGCTGAAAGTGCTGCTGCTGAGTGGCTTTATGGGGGGAGTGTGGGGGCGGGGCCACTTTCTCCAGGGGGAGACTCAAGCTCCCACTCCAGGGTTAATCGATTAATTTGACAGCGGAGTGGGTGTGCATCCAGCTACAGAAGTCTCTACCTCCATTGTCTTGTTTGTACCTCATCTCCAGTCTCTACCTCCATTGTCCTGTTTGTACCTCATCTCCTGTCTCTGCCTCCTTCATCTTGTCTGTACCTCACCTCCTGTCTCTGCCTCCTTCCTGCTGTCTCTACCTCACCTCCTGTCTCTGCCTCCTTCCTCCTGTCTCTACCTCACCTCCTGTCTCTGCCTCCTTTGTCTTGTTTGTACCTCATCTCCTGTCTCTGCCTCCTTCCTGCTGTCTCTACCTCACCTCCTGTCTCTGCCTCCTTCCTCCTGTCTCTACCTCACCTCCCGTCTCTACCTCTTTCCTTCTGTCTCTGCCTTTCCTTCTGATAACCCTATTTAGGGTTCAAGTTAAACCCAGAAAAATTGTACATTATAGGAATGTAAGACATGTGAGGTTAATCATAATTTAAGATTGTGTTTGAAGGGTAATCACATTTGCTATAATGTTCTGCAAACCTGGCTGCAGGTTTTCTTTAGCCCAATTATGTTGGGAAGGGCACTATATACAAAAGAAACTGAATTAAGAACAAGATAAAATGAAGGGAGGCAAGGCATTCAGTACCTCCTGGGAAAAGTGTGTTTCTGGTAGGTAAAGACGCCTTATCTCTGCTGTCTGTCAGACAGGAAGCACACAGAGGTGACCTTGGACCCGATCCCAGACCCTCGTTCCGCTGGATTGAAATGTCCTGCTCAGTGGCGGAGCCAGGAAATTTTCTGTGGGGTGGCCAGGATGATTATGTGATCATTTTGGGGGTGGCCACGGCCCCCCCCGGCCACCCCCTGCCTCCGCGCCTGTGCATGGATGGCTGTGGTCAGACCAGGGGGGGCCAATAGGGTGGCCGGGGTTCGGCGGGGGGTGGCCACGGCCCCCCCCGGCCACCCCCTGCCTCCGCGCCTGGTCCTGCTCCTTCTCTTGGTGTAGGGGGGTGTTGGGGTGGGGGACAGCCCACAAGATTGATACCTGGAGCAGCTCCCCAAACTGCCTCCTTTTATTCGAGTGGGAGGAGTTTAATTTTCATCCCATCGTCATGGCAATATTGGTGACCTTGCACATTGAGGTGTGTGTGGTAGCTGCTCACACGCTAAGCCGGCTCCAATTTCATAGAAAGACGAGTGTGCTGTCCTCCCGTGTTCAGTCAATAGTGTCCGCCACACGTTATGCACCCACCTGCTCGTTAATAGCTGAGCGTTTAGGGGGTGTTTTTGAGCCATACCTCTGATAATCACAGGGGCATCACAAAGATGGAGCCCTTGACAGTAATGTCTTAATGGCGCTGCAAGTGGGACTTGGGCCCACACAAACAGCACCATTTTAGAATGATCAAGGCACAGTTCACAGGCAATAATTATTTCTCTTCTCAGCTCTGGGGACTGTGCTTGAATGACTCACTCTGCCAAAATGGATACCAGACATTCACTTTACTCTGATCATTATTTACCTATTTTGCTGATAAATATGGTCTCTTTCTCTCTCACACACACTCTCTTTCTTTCTATTTCTTTTTCTCCTGTCTTTATCTGTTTCACAAACACACATATACACAATTCACTGGGGAATAAAAGTATGGAAATCATGCTTTGGCTCAATGTCATTTTTACAGAATGCAGAGGAATAAATAGTTTCCCACAGATCAAATAACTTTTTACTGAAGTGTCACTCAGAATCCACCAATGAGATAAAACGCCAACTAGCTCATTCTCAATTCGCCGATCTGCCAGTCATCTCAATGTCTGTCTGCGAAACACCGCATCTGCTGATCTGCCAATCAGCTCATAGCAAACCTCCGAATCAGCTCATTGCACAGCCCCCAATCTGCCAATGGCTGAGTGGAATGCCGGGTGGCGCGCAAAAGGGTGGTACGATTGGGTAGAGATAGAGCCAGTGACTTGAGCAATAAGGAGAGTGTCCGAGGGGTGACTCTTAAGAATTTCCCTCTGGGATCAATAAAGTTAATCTAATCCAATCCAATTTAATTAATGGATCTAGACTGTAGTTTGAGAAGTATGGACTGCCTCTCTAACGACTGGGTGCGGATATGGTAAAGTGGGCTGTGGCTTCAGTGAAATGGATGTTTGGGTAAAATGGGTGATGGCTTGAGTGAAATGGGATGTGACGAGTCTGTGGCTTTGGACAAAAGCATCTGCTAAATAGATAAATGTAGAGTAAATGTGACGTCATGGGTGTCCCTACGACCTTGACCAGGATGAGGTAAGATGAATTGGAGAGAAACCCACCTGCCGGTTCGTGTGAATTTAAACAAAAATGAAGTTATGACAATAAATCATTATTTCGCCATTCCATTATAAAGTTTTCTTAGTATAAATCCCCGCCCCCAATACCGAGAATCACCATTTTAATTCGGGCTGCTTTGCGTGTCGGCGCTGTTGACGTCGTCTGAATGCTGTGCTTGTTTGTGCGTCTTTTTCATTACACGATACTAAAACCCGCGGCGCGATGTAAATGCGACGCGGGTTTCCCTCGCCTCTCTCCGTTATCCATTAGCATGATGCGCCGCCGGTGCGGCCAGCCCGCCGCGTCATTATCCCATTAACCCGAGCCGCCATGCGAAACGGCGCCACCCAGCAGCCGCGGGGAGCCGAGGGCATCACCGGCGACTGATACTGACACCGCCTGCACTTAATTAGGGCTTTAAAAAATGATGCATGTCGCAAATCAAATAAAATATTTTTTCTTTGCCATTAGTTGTTTTTCTTTCAGGTTTATCTGTATAAACGATTTAAATATTTATCCTTAAATAGAGCTTACATGTTGAGCACCAAGCAAGCAGCGAGAACTAGAGGTTCATGTCCATCTTCCCTTTTATTGTGCCCATCGAACTAAGTCAGAGTCTCTACAGACGGAGCCGAACATCACTGATCTCCCCGCCTCATCACTGATCTTCCCTTGGCGCCAACCTGCCCCCCCCCCAAAAAAACATTTCTTCATATTAAAGCTTAAAAGAGCTCGTCTCCATGTGGGTGCAGGTCTGAACTTTGCCTAATTGCTGCAGGCTAAAAGCTGACCAGTAGGCAGCTTATATATTTCAGGGAGAAACAGGAGCTCATCCAAAAGGCAGAGATTTTTAGCAACTCACCATTAAAAAACTGTGATGTGTATAAACAAATGAACCATTTTCTGACCAACTTCTCTGGTCAGGGTTGCTGGGGGCAGGAGTACAACCTTCTCTGCTGCGACCTGAATCCCATGTGGAGAGCATGCATGCTGAACTGACTGAGCAGAATTGGGATTCAAACTCACTGACCCACCAGACCACCCATGAAGCATTGGGACTCAGAACATTAGACAGTATAGCATCGCACTGGCATCTTTGGAGCAACAAAAATGTAAACTTGCTTATTTTGCAATGAATAATGACCTTCTGAGCCACATTAATTGATGCACAGTGCAAATACTAATTATGGTGTGCAGAAAGAGCCAAATATGTACTTATTTTGACTCGTAAATCATTAGGGTGTCACATAATGAAGCAATAATTAAGATGGGGTGGCATACTTTTCAGTAAATTGTTACTGATTACCGATGTTTCAGTCCATTATCCGGAATTGCATTGCCTGTCCTCCCTGACGTTAACTGGCCATTGATTACAGGGCCTGATGGTTTCTCTCGGCCGTCTGCCCCTGGTCGCCCATCTCATTCATGCTCTCGGGAACGGACGCTAAATAAAAGGTTTTCCGCTTTAGCCTCGGTCAGGGTTGGAGCTACTCAGAGGTTGCATGTGTTCACAGTATAAATAGATAGAAATTTGCTAGCTAAAGGTAAGCGCTGGTCATCATAGACGTATCTCCAGGTCTTCAGGTGTTTCATGTCCATCTCAAACTTTTAGGCTGAGATGAAAAGAAATTGTATCTGTTCCTGTTTTCCTAGGTTATTTGTATGAGTCTCACAGCCTGGTCCTGGTTTGCAGTCATAGTTTGTCTTTCTACACCTCGCCATTTTTTCATTCATTTTCGTGTGTTTGTCTTTTGTCTCTTTCCCTGTCCCTGTTCCCATGTTCCCTGTGTCTGCCGGTTCATTCACGGGGGCCACTATTAAACTGCCGGGCTTTAAATTGGGCTTTGGCATGCAGAACTATGGGAGCTTCAAGGTTCCCTGGCTGCTGATGGGACACAAATATTGCCGTGGGCCAGACCTGGTCTCAAGTGGCTAGAGGCAGAAACAGTATCCCCTCATTCATGGGAGCAGCACCACGCATGTCCATCACCGAGGGCTGTGCTCAGCATGCGATGTTGGAGGTCAGACTCCTGGGGTGAGTTCACAGTTCACTCCAGCCAGAATTTGAGAAACTGGGATGGGTCTGAAAATGGATGTGTAGGGCAGCCAACTGGGCCACAACCAGCGGAAGTCGGACGCATGATGAATCCAGCAACTACATGATCCTACAGGGAAGATGCCAGCGAGGACTATAAGTTTGCCCTCAGTGGGAGACGGCTGAACAGATGGATTCGTTTGAGTGTTTGGGTAAGGTAAAGGTGGTGCTGTTCTGTTCAAAAACACTCAACGTTGTAGGAATAGGTCTGTGAAACACAACATGCTGATGGGATTTTGAGCTGATTTTACCTCCCCTTCCGTATCCA